GACCAAAAGAGTCGAGCGTTGTGGTTTCGAGTTTGAGCGGATATGGTTGAGGGTGCTCGGGAGTAGGTTAGAGTGCCCCTGACGATGTGCCTTGGCTAGGCAGCAGCAGCAGCAGCAGCAGCAGCAGCATCCGACTTGCAGCATCATGACTCTGGCCATTCGTCTCCACAGCAACGACATGATAAACGGCCTATCTGTTTATGTAACGATGTGCGGCATGCACAGCTGCTGGCTGATCCTTAAAGATCCGCTTCCGCTTCCAAATTGTCCAACAAGGTCACAGGAAGCAGCTGCACCGCCTTGGTTTCACGCCTGACGACTGACTACTGGCCACGCCTCAGCGCACAGCACAGGCTCTTGGAACATGGAGGCCATGACCTGCAGGACGACAGCAATAACACAACCACACACAAACATTAAACTACTAGACTAGTAAGGCACAAAATGGCAGGGCCCTGAAGTCAACTCCGTCCGGCCTCCAAAGCCGCTCTTGCTATGGCTCTTCCGCGAAATGGCTACCCCGGCTCGAACCGCGAGCTGCTGCATGCTGCTGGATGTAGAAGCTGGAAGCCCAAGGTGAACATGCTGCATAGGAAGACACCCCACACCCATTCCCAATGTCGAACCATCCCGAAGCAGTACCTGACCCCTACCAGGTGCCCAACAGTCTGCAGCACCCGCCAAAATTTTTGCAACTTCCATCAACTCGGCATCACAGACTCCGATACATTGTGTGCACAGCATCAAGTTCAAGCTTTTTGGGGCAGCACGCAAACTGATCAGACTGTACACGACCAGAATTGTGAGGCGCTGACCGGCTTTCACCTAGCAGCAGCACTGTTCCACATCAGTGCTGCAGAACTCGTGTCGTCGAAGCAACGGCTACAGCGCCAAGCTTCGGGAAACATCGTACCGCCTTCGCAAGTACAGAAAGGCACTTCTCGGACGGGGAAAACCGAGAAGGCTCGGGTCCTGAGACCAAGATCGTACTGCCCTTGCAAGTACCAAAACTGGACATGCAGCCATGATCCAGAGGATCAGACCACAGTTGAAAAGAGTGATTCGAGCAGCGGCACGATGGACCAGACTTCAGGCGTAAAGCTCGGGAAGTTGAACAGATTTAGGGCTCCAAGTGTGCTGCAAGGGCTACTGCAATCCTTCTCGGGGTGTAAACTGGCACCTGCTCAATGGCTCGATGTCCCGACCACTGTGAACGCACGGTCGGATTAGATCCCCGGCTAGTTTGCTGTACCTTTTCCAACTCACAGCCTCCTTGGTCTTACTGCATGGATGCATGGACCCTCCATTTGTCTCCCCTCGTGCCCCGCCCCCGCGTTTGGCCCTCGTGACCCTCGTGCCTCCGTATTGGTCTCTTGTCCGCTGCCGGCACCAACAAATGTGCTAGCGTGTGGCTCTGCATTGCGAGACTGAGCGATTGACAACCGATATCAAGCTGCGGAGTGATGCGAGAATGCAGGATTTCAGTTTCACAGGTTCGAAGGTTCGGCCGAGTAGATGCCGAAACCCTCAAACCGAATGGAGTGTGTCAGGAATGGAAGGTCTGGAACTGGAAGGTGCCCCAATCTTTCAAACTCCAATCGCCTGACCCGCTTCCAAGCTCTCAGACTCTCAAACTCCAAACTTTTCCCGCCTACAATCTGTCGGTGTCGACACCCCTTGGCCTTGGTTTCCAAACTCTCAAACTCACGAACGAAAACCCGCAACCCAAACTCTCAAAAGCCCAAACATGTGTTTACTGACACGTGGTCGATGCACCGACATTGAAAAATTGCAAGGTGGCGAGACGACACTGAACCTTTGAAGGTTGGACTCGAACTATGTGAGCCTTCAAGCACTCAAACTCTCGCAAGTTAGCGCACTGCATGAAGCATCCAGACTCCTGGTGCCTCGATCTTTGCTTGTCTCCCCCTGTGTGCCACTATTCATCTCGCTACTGATTTCTCTGACTCCCTAACTGTCTCCTCGCCTAGCGCTTGGTGGTGGAAGATACATGCACAGCTTCGATGCTAACTTCTCTCCCCACAGTCGTCTCTCCAATTCTTTG